TATTTTAAACTAAAATTACACCAATAGCACCTAACAAAACAATAGCGCTTTCTCTCTCTAGGCTCTTTGGAGCTACCAAAGATGTTTTAATTTTTACATTTCAACAAAGCATCCAAATTCTGGATTTCTGATCTTTTTAGTCTCATATTTGTTTGATCTTATCCTCCAATGGTTAAAAGAAATTATTAACAAGTAAAACATGTACTGATACACACAAAAAAACAAATAGTATGGTTAGAAGAAAACACCCATTTTTTTTCTAGGTAACCTGTCTTTCTAGAACATTTCTAAAGTATAATAAACTACAGAAATTTGCTTCTAAAATTCTGATGAAATAAAGTGTAACAACACCATCCACAGATTAAAGGAGATAGTTAATTTTCAAAACCAGGGGCCTGAAGCTCTCCCCTGATGGATTCACCTCATCTCCAAGGGTTTTCCATGCTCACAGGCAGCTCCTCAGCCCAAACATAGAGTGCTCTTAAGGCAGCTGTGAATGCTGCTCTTCTGCATGGGTTGCCCTTCCACAGCCCACTCCCCTGTCTATAAACTCCAACTGTTTATGAGTGCCTCCATTCAGGAGCTCATCTTTGAGAACCCAGCTCAAATGCCTTTCCTGGGTGAATTCTTCCTCCCACAACTTGACTCCTCGCCCACAGATCCAGGCTGGTTTCTCTATGCTGCTGCAGCATATTCACCAGGCCCGCTTTAGTCCACTCATCATGCTGTATTGTAATTCTTTTTTTTTTTTGAGACAGAGTCTTGTTCTGTCACCCAGGCTGAAGTGCAGTGGTGTGATCTCAGCTCACTGCAACCTCCGCCTCCTGGGTTCAAGTGATTCTCTTGCCGCAGGCTCCCAAGTAGCTGGGATTATAGGTGCCTGCTACCACGCCCAGCTAATTTTTGTATTTGTAGTAGACACGGTTTCACCACGTTGGCCAGGCTAGTCTCAAACTCCTGACCTCAGGTAATCTGCCCGCCTCAGCCTCCCAAAGAGCTGGGATTACAGGTGTGAGCCACCGTGCCCAGCCCTGTATTGTAATTCTTTAACGATACTCACATCGCCCCGGCAGAACACATCTTATTTATCTGGGTCACAAAGAGCATGGTTAATCTCTCACCAACATGAACATACCTTCAAGTATTTGAATAAGAATAAACCTGGCTGGCATGGTGGCTTACGTCTGTAATCCCAACACTTTGGGAGGGCGAAGTGGGTGGATTGCTTGAGCTCAGGAGTTTGAGACCAGCCTGGACAACATAGTGAGACCTTGTCTCTACAAAAAATTAAAAAATGAGGTGGGAAGCTCGCTTGAGTTTGGGAGGTTGAGGCTGCAATGAGCCATGATTATACCACTTCACTCCCTCCTGGGTGACAGAGTGAGACTCTGCCTCAAAAACAAAAAAAAAAAAACAAAAATAATGAACCTAACATACAATAAATGTTTACTATATGTTAATCAACTGCCTACCAAGTCCTCAGTAACCCACATTTAATTGTATCTCCACCTTACTGCAGCTGAAGAATCTGGAACTGAGTTTAAGAAACTGCTCGAGCAACACAGCATCAGTGGCAATGCTGGGGCATTGGATCCAGAGCCTGTCTCCTGACCCAGGTACTCTCTGGGAGCAAGGCCTTCACTTAACCTATTCTTCTCTGCTGCTTTGGCTGCTGGACTCCCCTGACCTGGTGTGGTAACGCCTTCCAATCTGGTCTTTCTGGCCTACAGCCGCACAGTACAGCACTCTGGGCCTGGAAGGCCTAGACCATACAGACCCAGTTACTGTGCTATCGCTGAGATGATTCTGGCAGCCAGATCCAGGCTCCTCTCTTAGCTCTTCTACTTACTGGCTCTGTGCCCTTGCCTAAATCACTTAACCTCTCTGTGCCTCAGTTTTTTCATCAGAATTTTATGGTCCCATGAGTTGCTGTGGAGATAAAAGAGATCGTGCCTACATGTGACATCAGCACTGTGTCTGGTGCACATTAAGTGTTCTCACTGACATTTCTCGTATTATTGTTGGCACACTGTACTGTTAGTGCTCCCAAATCTCCATCCTGGCCCTGCAGCCAAGCCATGCCTCCCGATCTTCTACTTGTATAGACAATCTATATATCCAAGCACAAGACCTTACCATTATTCCCCATTGTTTTCTTTGTGTTTGATTTGGACTATTTCTGACTTTTAGGTCCAATTCTGTCTACCACACACTCACTATTCCCCATGTGCCTGTGCTGTCTGTAAATCTGGATATTCACTTATATTTTCTTTTCTTTTTTTTTTTTTTTTTTGAGAGACAGAGTCTCGCTCTGTCACCCAGGCTGGAGTGCAGTGGCCTGATCTCAGCTCACTGCAAGCTTCACCTCCTGGGTTCAGGCCATTCTCCTGCCTCAGCTTCTCGAGTAGCTGGGACTACAGGCACCCGCCACCATGCCCAGCTACTTTTTTGTATTTTTAGTAGAGGCGGGGTTTCACCATGTTAGCCGGGATGGTTTCGATCTCCTGACCTCGTGATCTGCCCACCTTGGCCTCCCAAAGTGCTGGGATTACAGGTGTGAGCCACTGCGCTCGGCCGAATTCACCTGTATTTTCAAGCTACTGACCAAACTGCTGAACAGAACAGAGTCTGTAAAATGGGTATCTTCAGTTGTGGGTGTGAATACAGAAGAGGAAATGAATTCAGGGCACCCAGAACCCTGCTTGGCACAAAGTAGGTGTACCTGTTCATGCTTCCATACCTGTGACCTTCCCTCACCTGCCCTTATAGGAGACAGTGCCCTTGCATGTTACCAGTGGTAATATAACTGGAATGATCTTGCTGGAGGTCAATCTGACAAGATGTACAAATATGCAAAAAAAAAAGTTGACTCCACAATTTTACTGGGAATTTACTCCAAGGTCATTAAAGAGAAAATAATTCTATGTACGAGATACAGTATTTATAGCATTGTTATTTAAAATGCTGAAAACCTTTAAATAATCCATATGTCCTACAAAGATAAATAGTTAAATAAACTATAACAGAGTAGTAACAGCAATGTGGCTCTTAAAAGATTAAACATCTTTATGTTGGTGAATATAAAGTTATTTAAATAAATTACCATAGATATACATGCCATGACTGCAATAAATAAAAACTATGTATACATTGATAAAGACAGAAGGGTAGTTTGAAGAAATAGAAAATTATAGTTATGGTGAGATGATAGATATGTTTATGTGTGCATACATAATCTAAAGAAAGAGCTAATAAGAATCAAGAACAAGTAGTCCAGAAGCCAGAACCTTAGTTAAAACAGGATTATTATTATTATTATTTTTTTTCAGACAGAGTCTTGCTCTCTTGCCCAGGCTGGAGTGTAGTGGTATGATCTCTGCCTCCCGGGTTCAAGTGATCCTCATGCCTCAGCCTCCTGAATAGCTGGGATTACAGGCGTGTGCCAGCTAATTTTTATATTTTTAGTAGAGACAGGGTTTTGCCATGATGACCAGGCTTGCCTCGAACTCCTGGCCTCAAGTGATCCACCTGCCTCAGCCTCCCAAAGTGCACTATTTATGGTGAAGGGTTGGTTTTGAAAATGTCCGGTAAGATACTTTTGAAAAAGACAAGAAAAAGGCTGGGCACGGTGGCTCATGCCTGTAATCCCAGCACTTTGGGAGGCCAAGGTGGGCAGGCCATGAGGTCAGGAGATTGAGACCATCCTGGCTAACATGGTGAAACCCTGCCTCTACTAAAAATACAACAAAATTAGCTGGGCGTGGTGGCAGGTGCCTGTAGTCCCAGCTAGTTGGGAGACTGAGGCAGGAAAACATAGTGAACCCGGGAGGCAGAGCTTGCAGCGAGCTGAGATTGCGCCACTGCACTCCAGCCTGGGCGACAGAGCAAGACTCCGTCTCAAAAAAAAAAAAAAAAAAGACAATAAAAATGAATTACTAGAGAAGGGATTACAGGCATGAGCCACCACACCTGGCCCAGCTAACACACAATCTTAATCCACATCAAGAGCATTTGTCAGCCGGGCGCGGTGGCTCATGCTGTGATCCCAGCACTTTGGGAGGCCGAGGCGGGTGGATCACGAGGTCAGGAGATCGAGACTATCCTGGCTAACACGGTGAAACCCTGTCTCTACTAAAAATACAAAAAATTAGCCGGGCACGGTGGCACACGCCTGTAGTCCCAGCTACTCGGGAGGCTGAGGCAGGAGAATGGCATGGACCTGGGAGGCGGAGCTTGCAGTGATCCGAGATCACGCCACTGCACTCCAGCCTGGGCGACAAAGTGAGACTCCATCTCAAAAAAAAAAAAAAAAAAAAAAAAAAGTCGCCACACTGTACAGGAGGCATAAAGTGGAGACTCATCCTCAAGTGACATTTGTCTAAATCGGGATCTAGTTCCCTACCATTACACAGACCTAAAATCAGTGAGCTGCTACTGTGCCAGGCTCCTTCCCACTGACATTCATACCTCATCATACCCAAAAAAAAAAAAAAAAAAAAAAAAATTGAAGCATTTGTCTAAATACAGGATCTAGTTACTGTTCCCCAGGAACCTAAAATCCAGTGAGCTGCTACTGTGCCAGGCTCCCTTCCCACTGACATTCACATGCCTCATCATACCCTTGCCCACCAGTCACAAGAGTCCTGATGAATGAGCATCAGAATAGCACAGTCATGAAGGGCATGAGCTCTGCTACCCAATCTACCTGGCTCCCAGCCCTGCTGTGACTCTTACTAGCTAGGGGACCTTGGGCAAGACTTTCCCCTGTAAGCTTCAGTTTCTGCCTCTGTGAGGGTGGTTACAGTGCCCATCTCAAAGGCTGGTGTGAGGCGTGGCATCATCAATGCCCAGTACAAGTTGGCTGTCGATATAACCGTGTAACCTACCATCTCTTACAGATGGGCATAGGTTTAAAACTTAAAAAAAAAAAAAAACAAGGCAGAAGCAGAAGTAGCAGCACACTTGTAGAAAAAGGGAGGACTCCACTTAGCCATGCTTACCATAGGTGAACATGCGTGGCGAGGTCAGTTCAATGTTGGGCAGGGCACCTAGGTGGTTCAGCACGGCGCACCGATAGCCATTTTTCTGGGCGTAGTCAACGAAAGTGCGGATGTACTGCTTCTCGCTGTGATTGGCAATTCCAGGACAGATGACCATAGTGATATCATCTACAGGGTAGAGAAAGAGATCCCGATGTATCCAAGAAATGTGACATGATAAATGGACACAATTACACTTCACTGGCCTAGAAAACAGGGGGAGGGAATTCAACATACATCTTTCACTCAGTTCTCTGGGGAAGAATTTTTCCCTTCTAGCTGGAGCTGTCTATATCAGTGTTTCTCAAGCTATTTATAGTGAAGGGTTAGTTTTGAAAATGTCTAGTAAGTCATGAACACATACTTTTGAAAAAGACAATAAAAGTTAATTACTAGAAAAATGAAATGAAAAATATATAAACCTCAATTTTCTGCTATAAGATTCAACAAATATAAAATTACTCTGTCACATTGCTATAGAAGTTCCTGAACATTACTCTTAATTTCTGTAAGAAATTCTACATGAATGAATGAATGAATGAATGAAAAAATAAAAAGTGGTATTTGCACAGACCCTTTGACCCAGCAATTTTACTTTCAGGTATTTATCCTACAGAGGTAATTGTACATATATGAAATAATATATATGTATTAGGTTGTGTTCAATCATGCAATACATATCCTTTTGCATATGACTGAACACAATCTAAATGCCCAGAAATAGGGGTCTGGTTGGATAAATTATTGCCTATCTAAGTGATGAAATATTATGAAGCCCTTAAAAATAATGAGACTTTTTTATATACACTGATGTGGCAAGCTCTTCTATAAATTAAGTGAAAAAATTGCTAAATGCAGAAAGGGGTTATAATAATGCTGCCTTTTGTGTGAAGAGAAAAAGATATCTATATTTATAAATGCATCCACTATCTTTGGAATCACACACAAGAACCCTGGGAGTGAGTAGCACTGAGCTGGGGTAGGGATGAAGAGTAGAGGACAGAGAGCGAGATACTTTCTCTGTATATTGTCAGTACCTTGTGAACTTTCTATCATGAGTATGAATTGCCTACTTAAAAATATGAATATATACTTTTATTTAAAAGAAAAGAGGTGCTTAGGTCATTAAATCTGATTATAATTTTTGTTCAAATTAAGATTTTTAAAATTTACAAATTCTTAATGCTGATAGGGAAATGTGAATTAGTAAGCAATTGTCCAATATGCATAAAGAACCTTAAAAATTTTGTAAATTGCTGGATGTAGTGATACATGTATGTATTCCAACTATTTGCAAGGGTGAGGCAGGAGGATCACTTGAGCCCAATAGTTTAAGGCTGTAGAACACAATGATTGTATCTGTAAACAGTCACTGTACTCTAACCTGGGCAACACAGCAAGACTCCATCTCTGTATAAAATGTATAAGCTTTGACCTAGTAAATTCCAATTCTTGAAATCCTGCCTAAAATTTTCTGATGAAGGATGACATAATTATTGATAGTTACAAAGTTGTAATTAAGTTAAATGTCCAAACATAGAATGGTTAAATTATAATATGATCACCTTGTAGAATATTAAGCAATCATTAAAATTGTGTTTTTGAAGACTTTTAGATTTTTAATGACATGGGAAAGTCTTTATAATATAATGTATGATAATTCAAATTTTGGAAAAACAATGCATAGAACTATAAGAAAATGGAACAAAACATTAACAATATATGTTGGGTGACAAAATTACGGGTGATTCTTATTTTTTAAATGTATTATCCATATTTTCTAAAATGAGTACTTATTCCTTTTTTTTTTTTTTTTTTTTTTTTTTTGAGACGGACTCTCGCTCTGCCGCCTAGGCTGGAGTGCAATGGTCGGATCTCAGCTCACTACAAGCTCCGCCTCCCAGGTTCACGCCATTCTTCTGCCTCAGCCTCCGGAGTAGCTGGGACTACAGGCGCCCGCCACCTCGCCCGGCTAGTTTTCTGAATTTTTTAGTAGAGACGGGGTTTCACTGTGTTAGCCAGGATGGTCTCGATCTCCTGACCTCGTGATCCGCCCGTCTCGGCCTCCCAAAGTGCTGGGATTACAGGCTTGAGCCACCGCGCCTGGCCACTTATTCCTTTTATAGTCAGAAAAAAAATCAGAAAAGGGGGAAAAGGGCTGTTTTTCTTAGAGTACGTCTTAGGTACAAATACTGCCTTCCCTGAAAGCACCTTTGTCAGTCATTTCTGGGGGCAGGAGTGATGGAAAAACATGAGCAAGTACAAGGAGGAATCACTGTTCTGCCCTTTTCAACTTCCCATGTTGGTCCTGGTAGGAAGAGCAGATGGTCAAACTAAACTGTGTGCTTTAGTGGTAGAAGAAGAAAAAGCATTAGAAATAAGGGAAAGAAAACATTTAACTGTTTTAAATAATATTTAAATAAATATAGGAAAAACTAGCTACAGATTTATAAACACAATGTGAACTCCTCATCTATTCATGTATTCATCCTTTCCATGACCATTTATTAGAAGCCAGCTATTCTGGGCTCTGGGGATTCCTACATTCTAGCAGATAAATTATACACAAGCACACAAATAGGTTTAGAGAGTAGAAGCTACCATGAAGAACTAAAGCAGGAAGGCATGATGGATTTACTGAGAAGGAAACATTAGTTAGGGGAGTCAGAGACAGTCCCTCCGAGGAGGTGATGTCTGAGCTGAGACCTGAATGACAAGGAGGAGGTAGCCATGTGAAGGTCTGGGGACCAGCATTCCAGGCAGAGGGAATATCAGTTAAATCTTTGTCACCAGCTACTTAGTAGTTCTAACCACTTTAAATATCTAATATGTTTACTGGAATTTACCCATAAATAAATACCGAGTTCCTATTTAAAAAAAAACAAAAGCAAAAAACAAAAAAAACTAGGTGCTTTGGAATACTACATAATGCAAAAGACATGTTCACTTCTGGTAGAAATAGCATTCAAAAGGATGCTTGTACCTAACTCCACTTCCTCAAAAGTCTTCATTACGAAGCATTTTAGAATGAATGCTTATTGTATAGCCTAGACAGAACAATGCCAAATTCCAGCAGCAATGAAAATTTCAGTTATTTCTCAGAAATAGGTGTCCTACGCCACTGCATGATAGATATGACCTTAATGTGTCTTTTTGTCCAGGGAAACCTAAGCAAAGGGAACCTGAGAGCCTTTTTATCTATTGCTTATCCAACAAACGCCAGCCTATACTGCACCTCTGAGCTTCAGTTTCCTCATCAGTAAAGTAGGGATAGTAAATACCAGCCTCACAGCACTATTTGAGGATTAAATGGGATAACAGTATACACGAAGCACTGAGAATGGTCTGGCCTCTGTTGCTGTTATCAACCCAGAAGCCTGGTCCTGGGGTGCCTGGGCTCCAAGCACTCCCTCATCCTCTTACATCAAGCTTCTGTATTTCACAAGAGGATTAAAAACTATTCTACAATGAGTTCTGAAGAGCTTTACATGGTGACTGGCAAACACATGCTGAAGCTAACCTTTGCGGGCTGCTCCTAAGTGATGAATCCCAGCAGACTTCCCAACAGCCCCCGATGCCACGGGCAGAGTGAGTGGCACGAGTATTCATACTGTGCTGTGCTCTCCACTGACTAGTGCTCCTTCTCCGAGTGATGGCCCAACCATACAATCTAAAGCAGCTCACCTCCAACACAGTGCTCCGCCAAGGGCTCGAAGAGGTCGAATGTAGAAGTGGCTCCATCAGACATAGTGATGAACTTTCGGTGCCCGTAAGGATGTGGCGACCTCACCCTTCCCATCTTCCCATACAAGGCTGTCTGGATGTGTCCACTTTTCCCCCAGATCAATGGTGGAATGTATCTAAAGAAAGGACAAAAGTGGTCAATTTTCTCTACATTCCTTGAGCAATGTTCTGAAAAATCTTTTAGCAAAAGTCTTTCCACCTATTTTTTTCCCGGCAAATTCTGCACACAAAGCATAAACATGAGGTTTTTATTACATTACATCCATACCATGATTTACCACCTTTCCCCATTTACTAATACACTCTGCATCAGATTAGCTTTAGAAATCAGCCAGGACATGTACATAAGGAGAGGATTTCAATTTAGGGTAACTCTTAAGTAATTCAACATGGGTTATTTCCATAATATAGAATAAAAAGAAAGCAAGTGATACATTTTGGACACATTCTAACTTGACAAGTTAGCTCATTATTAAAGGACCTGATGTATATGAAATAGCACAGTGCCTACACTCACTAAATGCTCACTTCTTTCCCTAACAAGACAGGCCACAGCTGCAGTGGTTATTTCTTTTTTTTTTTTTTTTTTTTTTTTTTTTGAGACGGAGTCTCGCTCTGTCGCCCAGGCTGGAGTGCAGTGGCCGGATCTCAGCTCACTGCAAGCTCCGCCTCCCGGGTTTACGCCATTCTCCTGCCTCAGCCTCCCGAGTAGCTGGGACTACAGGCGCCCGCCACCTCGCCCGGCTAGTTTTTTTTTGTATTTTTTAGTAGAGACGGGGTTTCACCGGGTTAGCCAGGATGGTCTCGATCTCCTGACCTCGTGATCCACCCGTCTCGGCCTCCCAAAGTGCTGGGATTACAGGCTTGAGCCACCGCGCCCGGCCTGCAGTAGTTATTTCATTAGCCAAACCTGCTGCTCTCAGTTACGCTGGGAAGGGCTGCAAATTCTTCTAAGAGCCTGTAAGTGCCTTGCGGGGTGAGGGCACTACTGTATGCTCCAGAGAATGTGCTGTAAGGGCAGTGCAGTGTAACTATTTGTTGGGTTGATTAAAGGTAAAGGCTTGTTAGCCTAAGCAAGGCATGAAGCCTCACTAACAACAGTCCATTGTAAAAACACAGAGTGACTCTAGGCGTTGGTAGGAAGTGCAAAAATCACAAATAGTTAATTACCAGGAAAAGAAGATGTTCCAAGTTACAACTAAGAAATGATTATGGTTTACAACCACAGTACAAGATGACTCCCTTTACCGAAACTGCTGTTGGTTTCACTTCCATGGCTTTTAGCCCAAGCTTGATTGTTGTCCAGGATTTGTATCCTACATAAACTGGAGTCATATAATATAAAATGGTAGTAACATCAATCATTGCCCTCTGTATTATATGGCAGTGGTGAGTGTTTTATTAATAATTTACCTTAACCTACTTGTCAATTCTTGCCTATCATTTCTCTCAGAACCAGATAATCCCCAAAATCCTTTGATTTACTCCTTGAATGTGTGTGTAATTAATGAAATCTACACAAAGTTAAGAGAAGTGAAGCTATCACCTTAAGCAAACCAGTCCCCAGATAAGCTTCCTTTTCGGGGGAGGGGAGGAGAGGAAAGAGTATTTTAAGACATTAAGGACATGAAGTCACTTGCCAGCATAACACCACAGGTGCAAATATCACTGCAAAAGCCATGGCATTTGGAAAGCAGGCGAAGGCATTTATAAGAGCTGAGTGGATTATGACAGTAACAAAAAGCAAGCTTATAAAAATGTCAATTGGACAACCAAACACTACACAAGATCTAGATACAGAACTTATAGAGGATTTCAGACAACCAAGTTAGATAATAAGTTTTGCATAGAGGGAGAGGACTATCCAAGAAATCAAACTTTTGATCACTCCTGGAGGAAAGTTTAAAGAAAATTTTGTTTATAATATAAATTAAAAGTGGAAATATGCTAAGCTTAAAAATGTCAAAAGAATGAGTAAATGTCATATGCCTACCTTCTGAACATGTTTAGAATACAATATAATCTCAGAAAATAGAACAAAAGAATAAAGTAAAATTTCTTTTTGGCTATTCAAAGATTTCACATTTAATGATGACACATGTGACCGTCCTGATGCCACATTCCCAGTTTAGAGTCAGGTCACCTCCTCAGAATCTTGGCAGCAGCCCCCCAAGCAGCCTCCTAGCCTGTAGTCTTGCTCTCACCTACTCCATCATCCACCTGCCAATGGAGGGATGATCTCAACACACAAGCCTGGCCCCCACCCTCCACTGCATGGGTCCTCACTTGGCCTAGGAGGCCGGCTACACCCTAGTACTCACTTAACTTTTCCGCCTAAGCTCAAATAAACCTAAACTACTGGCCCCAACTCCACCCAGAACAGGTACACATGGTGTTGAACTACTTTTATCTGAGGAGTCTTTGCTCAAGCTGTCTCCTTTGACTGGAATGCTCCTTCAAACCCAGCGTCTCTTCAGGCCAGCTATTACTTGTCTTTCAAGACTCACTTCCAATCAGGTTGCTGGAGGAGTTGCCCCTTCTCCGTGCACAGCTCTGTCCTAGCACCCAGGTGACTTGATCACTTTAGAAACTCTTTTCAAGCAAACCCCTCCCACTGCTCATTCACCTCTAGCTCTATCCCCAGAGCACTGGACGTACATTACACACCTAGGGGAAATTTGCTTCAATGAACAGAATATACAGACACTTAGTAAATCTAAAAGGACAAATACATGTTTTTAAAATATACAAAAATATATTTAAAAATAATATGTGCCATAATAATGTGAATTCAGCTATTACATAATTGGCTTTTGGTAACTGTCCTCTTTCCAGCCTACCTAACCCCATTCTCAGAGTGGGGTGCAATAATTCTCTCTGTGTGTGTGTGTGTGTGTGTGTTTTAGGGATCAATTGCCTCAGAATCACTTGGGACTTTCTCAGTTCAGTGTAAGATCAATTATACACAGTGGAAGTCTCACAAGATTTGATTTTATGACAATACCACCTACTGATAAAACACTGTTTTTAATTAACTTCATAATAATACAACACCAGGGGTTACAAAATTGAATTTTTAGACTGCATTTACCATGGTGGGGTTCAATGTGTAGTTGTTTGTTTATACAACTTATCCACAGACCACAAGAAAAAAATTTAAAAACAAAAAACTCAATAGGTGCCCAGGCACATGGTTTAGGTCAGGAAGCAAACATGGACTAAAACAATGGAATATTTTGCAATTTATACAAACATATAAAATACTGAAAAAATGCTGCATGGTACATGAGGGAATACGCTTTTTCTATCTATGTGGTAGTTTGTCTGAAAATGTAGTGGCCAATAATTCCACTTATTCCATTCTTCTGCCAGGAGCTAGATTCCCTCCCTGTGATTTGTACTGGCCTGTGGCTTGTCTGGGCTTACAGAAGGTGGCAGAAAGACTGCCGTGCCAATTCAGGCCTGGTCCTTAGGGGACATCGTTGCTTTTGCGCTCTCCTCCTTGTAAGCCTGATGAGAGGGCATACAGAAGGCACTGTGATGGAACTGAGAGGTATGTGCGTTTTACATTTTGTAGATACTGCCAAGTTGCCTTCTAAAAAAGATGGGTCCATTTACATTCCCGCCAATATTGAATGAAAGTACCTGTCTTCCTCACCCTCATTAATAATTGGCATTATTAATCTTCTACATTCTGGCCATTTTGATGGGCAAAAAATGGGTATCTTGTTTCAACTTGTGTTTAAGGTTGATCCAATCTATGGTTGAAAAAAAGTTGCTTATTTGAATTTGCATTTCCCTGATTTCATGTTTACTAGTCATTTGTACTTCTCTTCTGTGAACTATCTGTTGATATCCTTTGTCTATTTTTTTATTATATTTTTCTATTGATTTATAAGTATTGTTTTTACTATCCCTACATTAAGCCATTATCTATTATATGTTACAAATGTTTTCTCAAAATCTATTGTATATTTTAACTTTATGTACTTTTTTTTTTTTTTTTGAGATGGCATCTCACTCCATCGCCCAGGTTGGAGTGCAGTGGAGCGATCTCAGCTCACTGCTACCTCTGCCTCCTGGGTCCAACCAATTCTCCTGCCTCAGCCTCCCTAAAAGCTCGGATTACAGGCACACACACCATCATGCCTAGTTGATTTCTGTATTCTTAATAGAGATGAGGTTTCACCATGTTGGCCAGGCTGGTCTTGAACTCCTGACCTCAGGTGATCGGCCCACCTCAGTCTCTCAGCCTCCCAAAGTGCTGGGATTACAGGCATGAGCCACTGCACCCGGCCCTAGTTTTTAATCTTTTATAGTTAAAAATATCTTTTATAGTTATAAAAATATCTTTTATAGTTAAAAATATCTTTTATGCTGATACAACAAGATAAAGTTAAAATATACAATAGATTTTGTTGTTTTTTTGTTAAAACCTTTGTGTTTTGCATTTTGTTTCAAAAAGAGCTATTGCAATACCCAATTATAAACATAATTCCCAATGTTTCCTTCTATTAATTCTATAGTTTTAGAAAATGTATTAACCTTAAATCCACTTACTTTTATAAAATGAGTGAAGGGAAGATATAATTCATTTTTTCTGACAGACTAGCTCATCGTCCTTGCACAATAAATGGCCTATCCCTTCCCTACTTTCAGTTGACATCTTTAATATACACCAAGTTCTCAATTAAATATTTAGGTTTGGTTCTATATTCTCTATTCTAGCTCATTGATCTATTTGTCTATTCATATGCCAGTATGACACTGCTTTAATTAATACAGCTTTATGAGACACTTCGATAGTTGATAGTGCAGGCTGCCTTTGTTATTTTTCAAAATTTTCTTGGCAGATTTCAGCATTTTATTTTCCAGATAAATTACAGGATTAACTTGTTTAGTTCCATAAAAATTTTGGATTTTTAGACCAGGCGCAGTGGCTCACGCCTGTAATCCCAGCACTTTGGGAGGCCGAGGCAGGTGGATCACAAGGTCAGGAGATCGAGACCACAGTGAAACCCTGTCTCTACTAAAAATACAAAAAATTAGCCAGGCGCGGTGGCAGGCACCTGTGGTCCCAGCTACTCAGGAGGCTGAGGCAGGAGAATGGTGTGAA